CATTAGGCAAGGCAAGGCAAGGCAAGGCAAGGCATGTTTATTTATATAGCACCTTTCAACACAAGGCAATTCAAAGTGCTTTACAAAAATGGAAGACATTATGAAAATGGCATTTAAAATCAGTCATTAAAAAGAAAAGATAATAAAAGAAACATTAAAAGAAAAAATACATGGATAAAAGTTACAGTTTAAGATGTGAATAGTTCAATTAAAAGCAGCGGCAAAAAGAAAAGTCTTCAGCCTGGATTTAAAAGTAGTAAGAGTTGCAGCGGACCTGCAGGTTTCTGGGAGTTTGTTCCAGATATTTGGAGCATAATAACTGAATGCTGCTTCTCCATGTTTAGTTCTGACTCTGGGGACAGAAAGCTGACCAGTCCCTGAAGACCTGAGAGATCTGGATGGTTCATAATTTAGCAGTAGGTCAGACATGTATTTTGGGCCTAAACCATTCAAAGCTTTATAAACCAGCAGCAGTATTTTGAAATCTATTTAAAGTAAAACCACTTTCCAGCAGTCAGCAGCACATTGTAAAAGCTGTCGATACAACTGTTCACATTCATAATTAAGTAAAGATAACACCCTTTTCACCCCGGTTACATTTTCCATTTGCCCTGAGAGGCTCAGTGAGGTAAAGGACTGTTTAGATAGTTCACTTTAGTCTAAGTTATCTCAGTGTGTCTCAAACGGTTTTATCACAATTTATGTAAACAAATATTTCCAAGGCACACCTTTATAATTATTAGGATCAATAAAAACAGGTTTGAAATCATTCCAATGTCATTTCATTTCATTTCAAACCTTTATTTAACCAGATTGGTCCCATTGAGATCATAGATCTCTTTTTCAAGGGAGACCTGCAGCATATAGGTTCCACATGAAACATAAAACAATAAAGGACATCATACATTATATTTACAGGATACATTTACATAGTTATAGACATTTACAAGTACCCATAGTATCAACGAGCATTTCATTTAGCCTAGCTTTAAAAACATGCAGAGGAATGAGATTGCTCAGTTTCAATTCTTGCTGAAGATTGTTCCAAGCAAGTGGAGCTGCGCACATAAAAGCTGTCTTACCTAAGACAGTCCTTGCTCTTGGCACATGTATACTATAGGACAGTAAACCAACAATATCCTTTAAAACTGGAGAGATTAAAAAATATGGATGAATAAATAAATGTTAACTGATAAAATAAGATATAAATGAACCAGCAAAAATCTTGCCTAGGGCAGCAAATTGGTCAGAACCGGCCCTGGTGTCATCCCCACAGCACCCCCCATTTGAAACATGTTCCCACGGCTATGTTTTCATATTTAAGCTTGTAGCGAGTAGAGGGCTGCTGGCAGGCCCAGACTGGCCATCGGGAGGGCCGGGAGGTTTCCCGATGGCCTTAATGTAGGCTATTGTGAACGCAACGCTGCGCAAATGTGGGTTTGCCTCACACAGGGTGACTGTCTGTCTACATGATGTGGCATCTGTTTCATATGGGTGTTTCCATAGATCTAGTCTCTTTATTTTCCCCTCAAAATGCACCAGATTGATGCATTTAACTCCAAAATTAAAAAAATATCTTACCAGGGGGGGCATGCCCCCGGACCCCCTTAGAGGATTTGAGGTCCACCCCCAAAATATGTTCACATGGATAGGTTCCCAAATACATTTGCAATTTTTTTTAAAATAGTAACCCCTGTCCATATGTTTATTATTGGTGTGGTGTGTGTGTGTGTGTGTGTGTGTGTGTGTGTGTGTGTGTGTGTGTGTGTGTGTGTGTGTGTGTTTGAGTTTGAGTGTGTGTGCGCGTTAGTTTCAAAGACCCCCATAGAGCTCAGTTTATAACTCGAACCCTGGTTGTAGTAGTAGTAGTAGTAGTAGTAGTTGTAGTTGTAGTAGTAGTAGTAGTAGTAGTAGTAGTAGTAGTAGTAGTAGTAGTAGTTGTATTAGTAGTTGTAGTAGTACAACTACTACAACAATATAATAATACAACTACTACTACAACTACTGTTGGGTTCAGAATCCCAGAAAAGACAGACAACTTCTAAGTTTAACTATTTATTGTAAAGAGAGCAAAATATATATATTACTTGGCGAAGGACTCATCATGTCTTTGGAAATCACAGGCAGCAAAACTGTAATCTGTAACCTCCAAATCCGTCAAGAGCCTCGAACCTCGTGCGACAATACATTTTATTACACAGGGCGTGGCCCGTACATTTATGATTGGTCAAAACCAGCGCCATATAGATGCTGGTCAAGACTAGCTGAAGAGATACCATGGTTTAGACTTGGTTCTCTTTGGTTGGTGCGCAGACTCAGATAGAGTCTCTTGGCAACACGATCCTCCAATCAGCATTCGGCCGGCCTGTGGAAGTCCCTCCCTACTCTGGTTCATCATACGTAATTTGTTTTGATGAAGCTTCTACAGAAAAGTGTAATCTTGGTTATACTGATTCCCAGCTATGCGTGGGCGCGGAGCTAACCCAGGCGGCCAAGGCCATAGCCTCAATAACTCATTGTTTCTACAGTGCCTGCATCTGGCTTCTGCTACTTTCTATTGCAAGCTAAAACTTTCTTCTGACTATTCCCTTCATTGGTATCTAACCCATCAGAACCTGGGATTAGTGATTGTGTCTATTTATTTTATAGTCATAGCAATCTCATGAGCACAATAAGCATATCATGTAATAATAAGAATCAGTCTTGTAATGTTATATAAAAATAGACTCCACACTACTACTACTACTACATTACTTACAGTAAAAAAACGACTGCACATTCAACTATTAAATCAATCAGCTATTTCAGGACATTGAGGCTATACATTTACAACATTTTGTAAGTTTACCAACTTATTTGACAACTAAAAGCTCTTTTCAAATGAAGAGCAGGTTGTAACCGAGGCTCTGTGTAAGTCAGAGTCTGAGCGCTGCTCCTCCTCCTGGAATGAATCAGAGTTTGATAAGCCCTCCCTCTTCTTCCTGGGTTGCATTCGAATAGTCCATTTAGCTTAGGAAGCTTCCTAACGGAGTGAAATGACCCGGAAGTCCCTCAGTGGCAGCCATGATAAGTGCCGTTCGAATTCTCTAAATTAAAAGGAAAGGAGGTTTCAAACTTCCTTTATAACCTCCTTTAGCCTAGGAACCACTGGACCTCCCTAACCTAAAGGAGAGGAGAAAATGCTGCCCCACAATGCCTTGCGGCCGCAGCATTTGCCGTCACACAACAGTCGGCCGTTCACGGAAACAACCGATTATGAACGAGAAATGATATCATGAAAGTTACGGTGCTTATTAAGCATTTTAAAACGTATGTGGTAAGTTGCCAAAGTGCTTTGTTTTGAACGTTCATCAGTATTATAATCAAAAAGAGAAATATGAACGTTAGTTTTTACTGAAATGATCAAATAAAGTCAACATTTCACAGTCTTTACTGAGCTGTGTGGGGTTTGTTCAACTTTTAAAAGATGTTTGAATGGTGATATACACAGTGATAGATGTTCAGGACTAACGTTTATAATAAATACATTTGTATTGATTTTAAGATCTTTTCATACAATCATACGTATTGGGATCATTTGTATTAATGTGGACCGGAGGGAGAGGGTGACGAGCATAAGTTTCACTTTCCTTTTTTATTTCAATTCCAACTTTGGTCATGAAGAATATGTTTCTCTGTTGTCCCCGTTCATAAAGCATAAAACAACAGCATCAGAGCACGGTGCAGAGTCTCTAGATGAGTTTACAGTAGTCCCTCGTTCTTATTAAACATCCATGTTGTAGTCCGCTGTATAGAAAACTGTAGTTTCCATAGTTTCCCCACAGCAGCAGGCGCACATTTATGACCTCTGCTGGCGCATCATAAACACGTCGGATAGTGAAAGTGCAGTCGGATTCTCTAAAGTGCCGCAGTCTCTTCTCCTAAATCCTTTTGAATTCTCCTATCCACTATCCCTTAACCCCATGACGTTTCACTCCGAGGTCAAGGAATAGACGATAGGGTTAGAACTTAGGAGCTGTTTTTTTGGAGTATTCGAACGCAACCCTGCTCTCAGACACAGCCCGCTCCACTCTGTATTTCCTGGTTCCTCCCCTTCAGATCCAAGAGGATGGGTGTAACCAACATGTGGGTAAAGTACAAGAGCTGATAGGCCACATTCACTGCACACACACATGCTGTTCAGATCAGCTGTCACACTAGTTTCAGCTCTCAGGAAGTGAAACTCAGACACTCGCTGCCAGAGAGAAGTGAAATGGCGCAGAAAGGAGTTCAGCTGGACAGGGAAGTCTTATCTTGTTGTTCGAACATCTGCTCTCGTCACGACGAGGTGATGAAGATGTTCTGCCGCACTGATCAGCAGTGTATCTGTTCTCTCTGCTCTGTGGACGAACATAAAGGCCACGACACGGTGTCAGCTGCATCAGAGAGGACTGAGAGGCAGAGAGAGCTGGAGGGGAGTCGACTAAACATCCAGCAGAGAATCCAGGACGGAGAGAAGGAGGTGAAGCTGCTTCAGCAGGAGGTGGAGGCCGTCAATGGCTCTGCTGATAAAGCAGTGGGGGACAGTGAGAAGATGTTCACTGAGCTGATCCGTCTCATGGAGAAAAGAAGCTCTGATGTGAAGCAGCAGGTCAGATCCCAGCAGAAGAGAGAAGTGAGTCGAGTCAAAGAGCTTCAGGAGAAGCTGGAACAGGAGATCTCTGAGCTGAAGAGGAGAGACGCTGAGCTGAAGCTGCTGTCTCACACAGAGGACCACAACCAGTTTCTGCACAGCTACCCCTCACTGTCAGCCCTCAGTGAACCTACACACTCATCCAGCATCAACATCCGTCCTCTGAGCTACTTTGAGCACGTGACGGCGGCCCTGTCAGCAGTCAGAGACAAACTACAGGACGTCCTGAGAGAGGAATGGACAAACGTCTCACCGACTGAAGTGGATGTTTTACTGTCAGCAGCAGAGCCCACCACCAGAGCTGGGTTCTTAAAATATTCACAGGAGATCACACTGGATCCAAACACAGCACACACACAGCTGGTATTATCTGCCTCCTTTAGCTTTGCGGTGGTGACGGGAAATCATGTGCCTACATGCCTAGGCTATGCATGCTGGTGAATGTGTAGTTGGATCATGTTTTAATTTGTTTTGTGGAAGATGTACTCACCACACTGCTGTGTTTGTTCCTTAGCCTCGTATGGACCAGTACTTTAATCAGATGGAGAAAATCATAAAGGACAAGAAGACCAGCTTCAGGATCCGCTTCATGCTGCAGGACGTGCTGGACCTTCAACGGGTAAACACTAGCACAACAAGAGTTTTTATTATAGGCTGACAGGTAGGAAGACAGCTCCTAAGTCAATTTAAGGATGATTTCATTTCTTATTAGTAGTTCTGGGTATGGGAGATACAAGCCAGGAAAACTATTAAGTATAAAAAAACAATGATCAAAGAACTTAACAAACAAGACAAACCGTTAAACACCTATGACCAGAATATTTTGATCATTCAATTAAAAAAAACATAATAAAACATCATATTAAAAAATAAATACACATTACAAGTAGTTTCTAAAGAGAGAATTCTCATTTGTGATTCAAACACAGGCGTTTTTTTTTTGTGGGTGTAATGAAGCCAGTCCAGTCCAGTTTAAGACCCTTGAATGATGGGATAGTAGAATAAAAGGTGTAGGAATCCAAACTATAACATATAATAAGTACCCTGTATCAAGATTGATGCAAAACAAGTGACATTTGACCTTTTTAGAGAGATTTAGCAAAAAAAAACACTTCTGGGGTCATTTGGGTGCATTTTCCATATCTCTGGCCCCCCTCGGTCGATTTTGATGATTGACATCTCATTTTAACCGTTAGAGCCAATAGAATCGAGGGGAAGTTCCTAAAATCCATTTAAACATTACCCATTGGCAGTGGCGACTGGTCATTAGGGGCAGGTGGGGCACAGCCCCACCTAGTGTCAGCAGAAAGTATTACAAATAATGATTACAAAAATGCAAAAAAAAAAAAATATATATATATAAAATATATTTTAAGATCATGTTTAATCATCTGATTCGTCTGTACATTGCTGTTTTAGTCTGTGTTCTTCTGATTAGTGTGTCTACAGTCACAGTGTGTGCCTATTGAGCTGTTTAGAGCCATGTGGGACAAAACCTGATTATGCCCCTTCCTCTCGCTGTGAAGTGAACGTGACTGTAAAAACTACACTGCGCATGCTCAGAGTATTTTGTAATGTAATGTGTGTGGCAAAAAAATAATGACCAGAGGGGCACGGAGTTACCATCCCCACCATACGTCATCTCAAATCATTCAGAGCTGATTGGCTGTAAGTACGTGTGCCGCGAAAAGTGTGGTGTGTGTGAAGAGGAGACGAGAGAGAGGTGCAGTGACGCGTCCTAAAACCAGGACGTAAGCACAAAAAAGCAATGAGATTTCTCCAGAGGATTTTAGAAAATAGCTCAAAATAAGATCTGTGGGAAACGTACCTGTTAGATAAATGCACGTTTTGATTAGCCGGATAACATCCACATGTCTACCCTACTTTTATAATTTTTTTATCATAAATCTATGGATTAGATTTATGATAGACTTTTGAAACTACAAGAAGATAAGGAGGACTTTTACAAAAAAGTAATAGAAATGTTTGTCCAGAAGGATAGGCAAATGGACTTCATCTTCAAGTCAAGGTAAGACCGCCATTTTATTGAAAATGGGATCTTACTAAGAGAGAACAATTCAATATTTAAATGATAAAATTACATTTTTTGGGTATCCTTTTGTTGAACTGTCTGTTTAAAATTAATCGAAGCATCAGACAAAAAAAGCTTTTGAAAATAATATTATATTTTGGTTTAGGTCAAAATATAATATTTGTAAACCTGAAGAGTCAGTGCCAGTGCCTCACCAGCCATGAACCTCACTGCACGTCACTGCAGAAGCTTATATATAGACATCTAAGTTTTTTGTGCCCCACCACTTTTGTACATATAAAAACGCCACTGCTTATACCCCTAGAATCTGTGGAATCTCAGCTTGCTAATCGATATCTTATTTGTGCAGATCCGATATGTAATAAGGGTATTTATACCGTGAGTTCTGTGCTAAGTGTGTTAGCATTTTTTCGCTCAGGGCTCATTTAGACACTTCTTGTGAGACTTGTGTTTTGTTTCGGTAAAAATGGTTCGTATCGTCAGTTAGCTGAGTTTCTTCCCGTTAAGTGGGTATGACACATTAATAGGTTTTTAAATGTTAAGAAGCCCTGAGACACAGTTTCGTGAGATAAAAAAAAGGTTGAACACGTTAATGTGATCCAAGAACACTTTGTAACATGGTTGCACGATTTTAAAATACCCAACTGCAATGATTGTGACAGATATTGCATGATTTAATCACAGTTTTAAAATGCACTAACATTTGGGGGGGGGAGATAAAACAAATACCCATGTGGTTTTGTAATAAATAAATGCATGACAAACTGGTGAGAGAAATCAGGATTTGTTTCCCTTTATGATAACATGATTCCTGAATTATTGCCGTGAAGTCTGACAATTTTACGACTTGTCCGCTACCTCCCACTTCTCTGCAACTTCAAGAAACCTAAAGAATGGGTGTAGAACATTTGTCATATTGTGTCGTTACGAGGTAGTGATGTTTCTTACTGATGTCTCCAGTCAGTGCAATACATGCAGCTTGTGCAAAATCTGCTGCATTTTCACTGCCATGCCATTCTTTGCCCAGCATTTGCGCTAGAATTACAGGAGGGAGTTGCGTTCTTGTTAATGTGATTATCTTGCGTGAATTATTTTTCTAACATGTTGATATTTCTAGATACATCGCAGGAGTTAACACGTCACCGTTGACAGCCCTAATACTTAGCCCTCATCAAATATTGTGCACTCAGCAATTTGAATATTGCACTATTCCATAATGCACTTTCAATAACATTTCAAGTAATTGTAATCTTTGTCGCCCTTGAATGAATTAGAAATCTGCCGCTAGATATACAGAAGGGAGTTGAGTTCAAACTTGTTAACGTGTTAATGTTTCTAGATGTATCGCCAGAGTTAACACGTTACCGTTGACAGCCCTAATACTTAGCCCTCATCAAATATCGTGCACTAAATATTGCACTATTCCATATTTAGATTAGATTCCTTTATTGTCACTACACAGCGAAATTCCAAGCATTCCCGATGGTGCAATCACACATAACAGACAGTAGAAGTAACATTTTGACAATAAAAGCTAACACTTTTAATATATACTATATAAAGTGACCTATGCTACATTGAACAGCACGCTTACAAAACAATACGACATTATCATACAAATACAAGAACAATACGGTCAAGGCAGTACAACATGTAAACGAGTCAATAAGTAAGTTATTGTACATGTATTTATCAGTGCGGTTGATAATTACAAAACTATAAATAAATGTATAAAACGGACAAGTCAAATCAAGCAATCTGATTGGTTCTTAGCCGTGATATACTGAGCCAGAGTACTGCTTTTCAAACTGCTTTTTTTTTGCTGAAAAGCAAACTGCTTGTGCTTTTTTTTTTTTTTTTTTTTTCGACCCTCCGCTTCGCGTCGGGCCGAACCACGCCCCTTAACTGTGATATATTGGCCATACCACGGCCTGTCGTGAGCTATTGCTTAAGTGTTCTACATATTGCAATTTCAATAACATTTAAAGTAATTGTAATCCTTGTCGCCCATGAATGAATTAAACATCTCCGACTCCTCTCAGCCTCCAGGTATGGGTATGGGTGTCGGGGGTCCTCGTCGCTCGGCACAGATGCAGTCTCTGAGCGATGACATTCAGCTGAACAAGGCGGAGAAGGCGTGGAAACCTTCGACGAAGAAAACCCGCGTGGAGGTCGAGAGTGAGAGCGACGACTCGGAGCACGGGAAGACCCAGGAGCTGTTTAAAAGTGTTCGCAGCATCCTCAACAAACTCACCCCGCAGAAGTTTCAGCAGCTCATGAAGATGGTGACCGATCTCACCATCGACACGGAGGAGAGATTGAAAGGCGTTATCGATCTGACCTTCGAGAAGGCCATCGCTGAGCCTAACTTCTCCGTGGTCTACGCCAACATGTGCCGCTGCCTCATGGGGGTAAGTGGTGCCAAGCCGATGATTGTTGTTAGGGTGTTTTCATTTCATTTTGATTTGTTCCGTTTATGGTATGCACAACTTAATGTATAACAATTATTTACAATCTACACAGAGCTCAGTGGTGTGTTGCTATGACATAAAGTGTGACACCGTGAGCCTTCAAGCTGCACGTGTCTCATCAGACTTTCTGTAGCTTTGACAGCAAATAACATGGAAATAAATACAAGCTTTTTTTTGTGTTCTGCCGCACTTTGGAAAATATTTCTTAAGCTAAAAGATGGAATTAGTGTTGAGTACAGTGTTAATTTTGGCAGCTGTTTTTGATTTAGTCTTAGTCTTTAGACGAAAATGGTTATTAGTTTTAGTCACATTTTAGTCATTTCTATCCTTCATAGTTTTAGTCTAGTTTTAGTCGACGAAAACTCAAAACGTTTTAGTCAAGTTTTAGTCGACGAAAACTCAAAACGTTTTAGTCTACTTTTAGTCAATGAAAAATTACATTTTAGTCAACTTTTAGTCAAACATTTTTCTCTCTTTAAACCAATGCAGTTAGGCAAATACAGGTTTCTGACATTGTAATTAAGGGGACAGCATCAAGTGTTGAAATTCGTAAAGCAACATTTCACTCTCTTAACACTTTACTTGTGTAATATCTAGGGATGGGTATCGCTAAGGTTTTCTACGGTACTATTACTCTTATCGATACTGCTTATCGATCCGGTACTTTAACGGCATTCTTGTATTTACTTTTTGTTATTTTTTTAAAGGAAAAAACGAACAAATTGTTAACCGAATTAATTGCTTTATTTAAATGTGAAATAAATGAAATATATATCATTATTTTTAAATATTGTACTGTACTTGAGTAAAATGTTGAGGTACTTGTACTTTACTGGAGTATTTAAATGTTATGCTACTGTGTACTTCTACTCCACTACAGTTCATAGTTAAATGGTGTACTTCTACTCCACTACATGTATTTAATACCTTTAGTTACTTTACAGATGTGGATGAATGATGTGAAATATAATCAAGTGTTAACTCAGACTTTAGTTCTACCTGGAGTAAATTCACAAGCTACCCTGCAGTATACAAAGTCATTCAAACTAGCTGCACCTTTACCAGCTTTGAGAACACTTTAATGATCAATCATTATAAAACATATCATATATATTATTCTGAAATGGACCAATCTGCACAATGACTACTTTTACTGTCGCTACTTTAAATATATTTTGATGATCATACTTTGACTTGAGGAACTCTTTCTACACTATGGTATTTTTTTACTTAGCTACAAGATCTGAGTACTTCTCCCACCTCTGCACACCTGATGTGATAACGTTACTCGTAATTGGGGCAACAGAGCTACGAGTTAAGGAAGTCGAAAATTGTGCATTTCTCCGACTGAATATGACGCCTTTTGGCCGGCTGTTTGGACAGACTACTCTACTCGTGTCAACGCGAAAACATGGCAAACGAGCTTTGTCCACATCGAGACTTGTAGAGTGTCTCTATACTCTCTGAACGCTCTGTCCCCGGCAGATCTCTGTGTGCCGCTGCAGCGTGTCTGTTAGGCCCCGCCCCCCGCACACAGAGAGGAGATCGCTCTTCTGGAGTGAAGAGAGCGGAAATAATGATATTGCAAGTTAGAAATGTAAGATGCATTTTGACAGACAAGACGGGCAATTGGGGGGAAATACCCTGCATTTTGAATGTCCGATAGTCCACCATTAACACCTTAGTCCCGTCTCGTCTCGTCAACGAAAACTAAATATACATTTCGTCAAATTTTCGTTATCAAGAATCTATTTTTAGCTCGTCATCGTCTCGTCTTAGTCATGTAAAAAAGGTCGTTGACGAACATTTTTCGTCATAGTTTTCGTTGACGAAATGAACACTGGTTGAGTAAGCTTACATGTTCACTTAAGGACTGTTGTTGTAAGGGTCTTTCTATACAGATGTGCACTTTTTGACACTATCGGGGTCGGCTCTCTCTGTAGCTTTGACGACAAATAACGTGAAAATAAATATAAGCTTTTTTTATTTGTATTTATTGCACAGTGGAGAATCTTTCAAAAGAGAAAAAACCTCTCGTCTTGGAGTTCGACGTGATACTCTGACTCTTAATTACATATTTTTATATATTTGGTCAGCTTATATATGCGTAACATTTAACTACGACTACGTCCTGGCACATTTCCTTATCTTATCTTGAGCTTCTGACCCCTCTGGAAACTAACCACTGATACAAATATGGAAAGAAAAGTTACGGGAAATAAATTGAGAAGTGGAAGATTAATTTGCTTCCACTTCTGCAAGCAAACAACAAAAGATCTGTTAATTAAAACTATTTTCAGTCTTGAAAAAAGGATAAAATACTGTTTGTTTTATACATATATGTAGTATAACTATATATACAACTTTTTAAGCTCTCTTATCAAATATGCCTTGCTCTTCCAGACACATATGATGAGATGCCAGAGGCGGCAAAATGGCTCTTTTTGATATTAACCATCAAAAAAGTAATAATAATTACATTACATTGCATTTAGCTGACGCTTTTATCCAAAGCGACTTACAATAAGTGCATTCGACCAAGAAGATACAAACTTGAAGAAAACAGAATCATATAAGTACATCAGGTTTCATCGAGCCAACACATTTCAAGTGCTACTCAACTAGCTTTAGATAAGCCAGTCCTTTGTTAGTATATAAGTGCTTAGTTAGTAATTATATCGCTCGAAGTGAAGTCGAAAGAGATGAGTTTTTAGTCTGTGCCGGAAGATGTGTAAGCTTTCTGCTGTCCTGATGTCAATGGGGAGCTCATTCCACCATTTTGGAGCCAGGATAGCAAACCCACGTGTTTTTGCTGATGGGAACCTGGGTCCCCCTCGCAGTGAGGGTGCAGCGAGCCGTTTGGCTGATGCAGAGCGGAGTGCACGTGCTGGGGTGTATGGTGGTAATAATCTTTAATTGTGTGTGTTTGCTGTTCTATTTTCCAGCTTAAAGTTGAAACCACAGATAAGCCGGGAGTCACTGTGAATTTCCGCAAGTTGCTGCTAAACCGATGCCAGAAGGACTTCGAAAAGGGCCAAGTTGACGACGAGATCTTCGAGAGGAAGCAGAAAGAGCTGGATGCTGCCACAGTGGTACAGTACTGCCTAAAAAAATCTCAATTTAGGCTCTTTGTTTATGCACAAAATAAGTGATCTTGGTGTTTTATTTTGTATGTGTGGTGGGCATGGGCGGCGTCAGGATTTTTTTGCTGCAGTAGCTTAGCAGTTGCTATATGACAGCACGGCGTTGCTAGTTAATTTTCAAAAATAAATAAACAAACAATAGCCTACCAGTGGGCCAAGCACGAGCCTGTTCATATTGTAGCGTTCACCGCTATTCAAGATCACGAGCCTTCAATGTCGAAAACGTTCTCTTTATTTTATGGTATTGACGGCCACAGCTACGCCTTACAGAGCCAATCAATAGTATAACACTCATGACTTTTCCCCACACTCGAACACAACTCCTAACATCTCGTACTCCCTACACACACACCGGAAAACGCACACACACACCTGGAAGGGGCGGTCTCTCCCTAACTCCCACCAACAACATTACCTAAATAACTTTACAAATGTACTAAACTGCACATCTGTTAACTGAAATAACTATTAACTTGGACACGCTACAATATTATCATTAATATTTACATTAAAACATTCCTTTGACACTTATAACATTACTTTGCAAGGTAAGCACAACCAAAATAAGTTTGTAAAAGCAGAATTTGAACACTGTTTCTGTGATCCTACAATATTTGTGTATAATACCATTACACCCTAAGCGTACACAATAGCGATCGTTCACTGTTTCAACTGGCATGCTGTGGCATTTAACCTCATCACCACACACACACACACACACACACACACACACACACACACACACACACACACACACACACACACACACACACACACACACACACACACACACACACACACACACACACACACACACACACACACACACACACACACACAGGGTTGTCCGGCTGGACCGGCTCCGTTGGAGATCGCGGCTGTTTATCTTTCCATTTTCGATCTGTGTTCACATACTGAGAATTATAACAACATTAGCCAAGTAACAGTTTGCGCTTTAACTTACAATACAATATATATAGATACATTTTCATAACAAAACAATGGGGTTGCTAAGCCGATGCTAGGCCAATTGTTGGAGTTGCTATAGCAACTCCCAGCTACCCCCTGGCGCCGCCCCTGGTGGTGGGGAGTATTTGAAGGTGAACATAAATCCGAGGGAAGCCATTATGAGTTAACAGACTGGCACTTTTAAACCCTTTTTAAACCTGTGTAATTCTGGAAAATATCTTAGTAATACACATAAAAACTACATATTTTGTAAATTGTATTACACTGTGCACATTTTTACCTTTTTATTGGACATCTCACTTACCCATATCACTTAGGATTATTACTATATTACTATTTTCCTTATAAATATCTTAATTAATTATTTATTACATTTATTTTTATTGCACATTTTTCTTGTGTTTAAATACGTTTTATTTATTTAATAATTTAACATTTTTATTGCATATTTTTAATTGTGTTTATATAAATATTATTTTTGTATTTGATCTTTTTATTGCACATTCTTCAGTAACCTTTTTAAAAAAATATATTTATCCGTTTCGAAACCCACATTTGACCAGGATAAATGAAATGTTCAGATTTATATTATTCTCAGATTATTCAATCGGCTAACATCTCTTCCCTTTCCCCGTGACTTTGTTCCTCCTGCAGCCGGAGGAGAAGCAGCGTCTCACTGAGCAGCTGCAGCGCGAGAAAGACAACGCCCACAGGTGCTCGATGGGCAACATCAAGTTCATCGGAGAGCTGTTCAAGCTGAAAATGCTCACAGAGGCCATCATGCACGACTGCATCGTGAAGCTGCTGAAGAACCACGACGAAGAGTCTCTGGAGTGCCTCTGCAGACTGCTGTCTTCCATCGGAAAGGACGTAGACTTCGAGAAGGCCAAGGTATGAAGTGCATTTAGACTAAACTATTCCAATTTCTGCGCTGTCGTTTTTTGTTTTAGAAACAGCTGGTATACAAGAATCCAGGTGAAGAAAATGTCCCACCTTTGCAAATAATTCTTTTAACGATCCCAAAGTCTGTGTAAACCATCAAAATGTGAAGTCATTCTACTTTAACCTATAGAAGTTAACATTAAAACAAACAATTTAAATTGGGTAAAAACATTTTTAACGATTAAAAGAAAGTGTTGATTCATTTAAAAAAAGTTTAGTTTGAGGCAGCTTTACCAATCACGTGCCTACAGTATATGCATGCTGGTGAATGTGTAGTTGGATCATGTTTTAATTTGTTGTGTGGAAGATGTACTCACCACACTGCTGTGTTTTGTTCCTTAGCCTCGTATGGACCAGTACTTTAATCAGATGGAGAAAATCATAAAGGACAGGAAGACCAGCTCCAGGATCCGCTTCATGCTGCAGGACGTGCTGGACCTTCGACGGGTAAACACTAGCACAACAAGAGTCGTTTTTATTATAGACTGACAGGTAGGAAGACAGCTCCTAAGTCAATGCTGTGCAAGTATAGTAAATAACACTGCCTTGCTGTGCAAGGCAGTGTTATTTGTGCCTCCCTGGAACAAAACTTCCAATATAACCTCTCAGTATATTCTAATTTAAGAGAAAACTACACTTCTGCACCTCCTTCTGGCTCTGTTTTCAGGTCATTTCAGAGAGAGGGCGTTTTTATTTGCTGTTTTACAAACGCAGAAGCACGTGCACATCCCTTTTTAGGTCAAAGCTTGATTCAACGAAGGAATATCCTGCAGGAAAAGCTTTTATTCCACCATAGTGTTTGCAGGAATGAATCATAATCCTAGAAATGAGTCGGCATTACTACACTTCCTGTTTCCTCGTTGTGAGACTGACCGTTGAGCGGCCCGACCAAGTAAGGAGGCAGAGGCAGAACGTCCAAAATATAACCCGGTGTGGGCATTTATTACAATCATAAATGCATGACACAGCCTCAATCTGCTGTTCACGTGAGCACAGTCACCAGCCACAAGGATCTCACACCCAAACAGGAAACACAGAGCCTAAATACCCACATGTGCAATCAAGTACAAGACATAGGTGAGGGGGGAGGAGACAACACAGGGCACCAGGTGAACATAATCAGGAGCAACAGACAAAACGGGAGGGGGAACACTTTTCAAACACAAACATATAACTGAACAGAATTACACACATACAAACCCAACTAAACACAGTCAGCACTTGTACAATTAATGCCACTTAACGCTATGATTTCTACACCCTCACATATTATTTGCACCCGGATTATTCTTAACCGCTGTCATTCTACACCAGCATAAGCACTTTCGGCGCTCTCGCTAACTCCCCTATCTTGTCAGGCGGAGCCGAGGACCCGACCAGCACCTGCCAGACGACATTTCAATTAATACGGTTTTAATCCTTTAATAAATACTATCTCAATAATTAGTATAAATTATATAAAATGTGAAAATATGCCATGCCAAACGGTACTGTGCAATCACGCTAATAAAGTGCAAACTGTTCACTAAAGTGCTGAGTTACCAGGCCCGAAGCCGTCAGTCCACAGTGACGAAGTTACCTTCGTCACACTAAATCAATGGTTTTCTGAACATGTTTCTGTCAGTAAATACAAAACTTGTCATAAATGTGTTTGCCAAAGTGCTCATTTTGCTGCAATAACCCAAAATCTGATGGAAAAATGTAATAGAAAAACGTTGAAAGAACCTTTGCAATGCTAAATTCAGGGTTGTCCTAAATATGTCATTATAGCCAGGGCTGCCAACACTCACGCATTGAGCGTGAGAGTCACGCAATTAACCCATATCTCACGCACTCACGCCACACATGCCTTTCCTCACGCTAAGTTTCCGTCCAAAATAAATGTATATAAAAATAAAGTGAAGGAACAGCAAACCGAGCGGTTTACGAAATGAGACGGTCTTCTGGATTAGTTCAGTAAAGTTGGAACGATATTGGGAGATTCGGATTTCACGGATCAATAACTCATGAACAAAACGTTATTCAGACACAAATGACGTCTCCTAAGTACCGTGGTAAGGACAACGAACTACAATCACATTTTGATAAAAAAAAGCCAATATGCGCCGTCCTCCGAGCTGGGCACATTGGTCTCTATCCGCAGCCGGAGAAGAAACGAGTGCTCAGGGACCGTCTGCAAAGTGCAACTCCGAAAAAAGAGAATACAATAATATTCACTATTATACAGTATATTACTACCAAACTCACTAAACACATCAATAGTCTCCTGTGTGTCATACTACAGCAAGGAGTTTGGAAGAATATGCTTTTGAAGAATTTTGGGGAATGTTTATAATGTAAATCTTCAATAAATATGGCATTATCTTGAATAACTTTACTATTATACAGTATATTTCTACCAAACTCACTATTTGCATTGTTGTTGTTAGCATCTGGTTAGCTAGCTGCGCTAATGGATATTAGAAGCTGTTTCTAAAACAAGGAGAGGAGAGCTCTCTGCTGTCAGACTGAGAGAGATAACTACAGCTCAGTGAGGTAAGGGACTCTCTGATTGTTTAGATAGTTCACTTTAGTCCAGTTATCTCAGTGGGTCTCAAACGTTTTGGTCACCATTTATGAGAATAAATGAAAAACAGTTATGAAATACTATATGACAGTAAAACAAGAATACAGTTTAAAAGGGGAGTGATTTGTAAAATATCCATAAAGAAAAAGAAAATCTGTTTACAGTTCTGTTTCATATGGGTGTTGAGAGATGTATCCATAAATTCATTTTGCTCTCAAAGTGCACCAGATTGATGCTTTTAACTTCAATATTAAAAAAAAAATCTTCCAGGGGGAGCATGCCCCCGGACCCCCCTAGAGGAGGCGAGGACCCCCCCTCCACTTATAAAATAGCACTTGATTGTAAGAGTCGCGGGTACACTGTGTATGTGCGTATTCCACTGTAGCACCCGGTACATTAATGGGAAACCCTAGTTTGTACATATTCAATACATTTGTAACACTGTACACATGAACGTTTCTTTTTTCGGTTCACCAAAAAAAAAATCTCACTCCAAGCTGAACTCAAATGTTGGCAGCCCTGTTATAGCACATCTCTTTTCCTGTAGAATAACCTTTATATGACTTAGGACAGAGAGGAATCTAACCTCAACCCTCTGTATCCTCTTAGCTTTTTATCTGTTGAAGGTTATTATGGAGCTTTTGCCCAATAATGCTAAATAAAAACTGCCTTCCCCAGCTTTAAGAGTGACTAGGATGTGGATGTTTTCATCAGTTTCTCCCATGAACACCTTAGTCCTAATAGTGTTAATTTGTCAGGATTAACACTGCTAAATGCCTATTGAGTCATCTGTCAAAATTAGAGATACTTCAGTTCAATTGAGTTATTTGTATTTAGTGTTTTTTTTAACCTGTTGCATATGTAATGGGTATGACAAGTTACAAAGACTAACGGTTCCTGGGTTGTCCAACAGATGGCGCCTGTTGCTTAACAACCGTTAATACAACCGGTTGATACATGTTGAATATACACTGATGTTGTGTTTTGTTGGTGTTGTGAAGAGCTCACTGTTGGTGGGATGTCTGTTTATTGGGTATTTCAGAGGGTTTGTTTGGGGAGTAACGGTTAGTGCTGTGTCATGCTAGCTATGCTAAGCTAGCGCCGTTAGCTATGCTAAGCTAGCGCCGTTTAGCTTTAGAGTGGGCTCTGTCAGAATCAGTTTTATTATCAAGTAGTTTAACACTTACGAGGAATTTGCTTTGCTATAAGTGGTGCTTACAGACACATAGAAAGAAGAATACCTAACCAAAAGAGAAACAAAAGCAATAGAACTTATGTAGGAAACTGGGTGCAGTAAAATGTAATATAATATGACAATACAGTATTGTCATATTATATTACATTTGACTGCACCCAGTAGTTCCTAGTAGTATTGAATACTATATATTCAAAGTGGAGATGTATGCAGATTTTCTTTTTTTAAAAGGAGGTAGCATGTGTAGTGATCACTGATTGACATAATTCACGCATGGAACTACAGGTTGGGGGTATTGTTTCCGCACGGACATATGTGTTGCTGACAGTATTTATTGTGTGCCCTCCTGGCTTCTTGCCTTCTTGCTCTTCTTCCCGGGCTGCGACCCAACAACATGTGGTTTTCTGCTGCTCATTAAAGCACCACTTTGTACCTTCAATGCGCCGCTTCCGACTCCCATCTCTCGGCACTACATATGCAACATTTGTACGTGTTAATAAGATATCTATGTTTGCAGTGTGCATTGTAAGTGTTTATATGTTATGCCAGAAAGTTATGTTCGCATTGTACTATGTAGGCCAGGGCTATTCAATTGGCGGCCCGCGGGCCAAATCCGGCCCCGGGGTGATATTTACTGGCCCTTTGAGTATAATGTTAAAAAGTAATCAATTCTTTTTTTTTAAGATTTTTTTTTTTTTTTTTTTTTTGTGCCATAGTGCCTTTATTCCAGAGAGGGTGTTACATTGAGAGATAGAGGGGTAGACAATGCCTGAACACTTCGACGGGCTCGGGTTTCGAACCCACCTACTATACTGTAGTGACAACTCCTGTCATTGATTGCATCTCTGCGTGAATGATTAGATCATTTCACCTAAATGAAATCAAATGAAACATGTAGGCCTACTGAGTTCTGAACTTGCCATTTAGATCTATAAAGGCCTTGGGGCTATGTTGTTTGTTTGAATTAAACACAATATATGCACTCCACTATGCTGTTGTAGTATTTACTGTATCTGAAGCTCTTAAATATGATTGCTCATATTTCAAGCCATCTTTTTCCCGGCCCCTTGCTTTGGATCATTTTCATCAACCGGCCCCCATTCCAAACTAATTGAATAGCCCTGATGTAGGCTAATGCTGTTTATATGTTCATGGATACATTGGATCTAAAGCCAGCATCAATGTGTCTGCTTCTTTCCTAATATTTCCCCATATTAGAAGCAAAACAAATGTTCTTGGAATCAGTGATGTGGACACACTAACATTTTGATATTTGTAAACCTTTTGACTGCCATGTAATGATCCAATACACACAGGGAGCAAATCATGTCCCAAATAATCCTGTCAATGTCCTGACATAATATTTGTTTACGGTTATGTGGGACGATTAAGGTATTCCTTTTTTTGTTGAATGTTTTCATTATAAAGAAAATTCATACAGAATGTCATTGAGCAGTCAAATACATACTGTAGATGCAACCGTGCACATTTCAACCAGACTGCCAGAAAGCAGATCAAATATACCCCCCCACCCCCACCCCAGCATGAAAGAAAACAACAAAAACAATAATGAGATAAGTACACGTTCTCATAATGGACACAAAAAGAACAAAAAAACATACAAAGCAAACAAGACAAAATATATACAACACCTACAATATTACTTTAGAAATTGTTGTAGCCCAGATTTCAGCAACACTTAAATCTATACATAATCATCTTCAAAGTGTTAAATCCAGCTTGCACTTCTCTACGTGTGATCAATGGCTGCCAGGCCTTATCAAATCTATCAGTAGATCCCTTCAGAGTGGACTGGATTTCCTAAGGTATTCTGATTCTGACAACCTCTATATTTTACTTCTTCCCCTCCAGAGCTCGTGGGTCCCCAGGAGAGGCGAACAGGGCCCGAAGACGATCGAGCAAATCCACAAAGACGCCGAGCTGGAGGAGCAACGGGAGCAGATGAATGTGCAGCATGCCTTCATCTCTAAACTGTCAGGAGGCCACGGAGGCAGAAACGACGGAGGCAGGAACGACGGAGGAAGGAACGACGGAGGAGCTCGTGGGGGCCGCGAGGGCCGTTACAACCAGGGCCGAAGGCAACCTCCCCAGGACGAAGGCTGGAACACAGTGCCCATCTCCACCAAAAACCGACCCATTGACACCTCTCGCCTTAGCAAAATCACTAAGGTAGGAGAAAGGACGCTTCACTTGGATAGGAATGCAAGATTTCAATACGATTTCAATACGATTTTTGTTATTTCTTTCTACCTTCAACGATTTAGGTTGTAGTTTGTTTCATGAGTGTGTTTCAGTTTCTTAGACCCCGTTTACACGAGGACGATACGGGTTGTATCCGCATAGTTTCTCTTGCGTATAGCCTTTTCGTTTACACGAGGCCGTAACAAAACGATAGAAACGGACCCCGCAAACGATAACGGGTCCCAAGGTGGATAGATCTGCAAACGGAACGCTCTGGAGGGTCAAACGGCTCCGTGTGTACGCCTCTATACGATCATTTTCTGATAACGATGAAATAGCCCCGCCTCCCTCTCCCCACGCCTCCCTCTCCCCACGTCTCCTGCTCAGAGATCAGCTGCTGGGCTGTCAGAAGAGGGGGAGGAAAAGAGAGGCTCCGTTTATTATTCTTATATTATTATTAGGGCTGTCAGTCGATTAAAATAGTTAATCGCGATTAATCGCAAATTGTGTGTGTGTGTGTGTGTGTGTGTGTGTGTGTGTGTGTGTGTGTGTGTGTGTGTGTGTGTGTGTGTGTGTGTGTGTGTGTGTGTGTGTGTGTGTGTGTGTGTGTGTGTGTGTGTGTGTGTGTGTGTGTGTGTGTGTGTGTGTGTGTGTGTGTGTGTGTGTGTGTGTGTGTGTGTGTGTGTGTGTGTGTGTGTGTGTGTGTGTGTGTGATGTGCAGCTCAAGGCAGATATGCTCAAATGGGAGCTGCCTGGACGCTGCAATCATGTTGCGCGCACTATCCGTGCTGAGTGTGCTGACTTTTCGTACAATGTCCCACTGTCTGGCTACCTGCATAAAGTCAAGTGCTCGGCGCAGTTGTCGGCGAAATGTCGCTCCTGTTTTCATTGTTAGCGCAGCTAGCTAGCACCAGATGCTAACAACAACAACAACACGTAAGGTGTGCCTCGCCCGCGCCACACATACATACACACACCCTCCCGGTCCTCCCGATGGCCAGTCCGGGCCTGCCAGTGAGCGTGGAAGTGTGGTCTGCCACAAGCGGGCGGCAGGAGCGGGGCTGTCAGCATCAGCTTTTCTGATTTTGTCCGGAAGATTTAAACTTTAACGGACATGTTGACCGGGGAAAAAACATGTTAACGGAATATATATTTTGTGGCGGCAGCAGCGCCACTTACAGGCCTGGCATATGTACTACAACGTTTCCAGCGTTTCCAGCGTTTCCAGCGGTCTCGTGTGAACGGACACGTTAAATGAATCGAATGCGTGTGAACGGAATACTTTTTGGAAAACGCATGTAAATGGGGTCTTAGAAAAAGGCTGAGTTTGACTTGGGCACTGTGTTAATATAGATACATGCATACATACTGAGACCTTAGTTAGATTCATTAGTGTGTTTGCTGGTTTTAGTTTCAGTTTCTTAGAAAGGCTGAGTTTGACTTGGTATTACGTCTTTACAAGAGTCTTTGAGCACTAGGAAAAGCGCTATAAAAATTATTAATACTAATGTCTCAGTATGTATGTAGCTACATCAACATTCATATTACATGGTTGAAGATGCTGTGGCAGTGTTAATTTTGGCAGCTATTTTTGATTTAGTCTTAGTCTTTAGATGAAAATGGTTATTAGTTTTAGTCACATTTTAGTCATTTTTATCCTTAGTTGACGAAAACTCAAAACATTTTAGTCCAGTTTTAGTCGATGAGAAATCATTACGTTTTAGTCAACTTTTAGTCAAAATGTTTTCTCTCTTTAAACTAATTCAAACACAGGTATCTGAAATTGGAATCAATGTGACAGCATCAAGTGTTGAAATTCATAAAGCAACATTTCACTCTCTTAACACTTTACTTGTGTAATATCTAGGGATGGGTATCGTTAAGGTTTTTAACGGTACTACTACTCTTATCGATACTGCTTATCGATCCGGTACTTTAACGGTATTCTTATAGGTCCTTTTTGTTATTTTTTAAACGGAAAAACTAAACAAATTGTTAACTGAATTAACATTGCTTTATTTAAATGTGAAATAAATCAAATATATATAATTATGTTATTATATTGTACTGTACTTGAGTAAAATGTTGAGGTACTTTACTGGAGTATTTAAAAGTTTTGCTACTTAGTACTTCTACTCCACTACAGTTCAGAGGTTAATGGTGTACTTCTACATGTATGTAATCCCTTTAGTTACTTCACAGATCTGGATGAATGATGTGAAATATAATCAAGTGTTAAATCAGACTTTAGTTCCACCTGGAGTAAATTCACAAGCTACCCTGCAGTATACAAAGTCATTCAAACTAGCTGCACCTTTACCAGCTTTGAGAACACTTTCATGATCAATCATTATAAAACATATCATATATATTATTCTGAAATGGACCAATCTGCACAATGACTACTTTTACTGTCGCTACTTTAACTATATTTTGATGATAATACTTTTCTACTTTTACCGTAGTAACATTTTGAATGCAGAGCTTTTACTGTAACAGAGTATTCCTACAATCTGGTACTTTTTTACTTGACGACAAGATCTGAGTACTTCTCCCACCTCTGCGCACCTGATGTGATAACGTTAATCGTAATTGCGGCAACAAAGCTACGAGTTAAGGAAGTCGAAAATTATGCATTTCTCCGACTGAATATGACGCCTTTTGGCCAGCTGTTTGGACAGACTGCTCGTGTCAACGCGCTTACGCGAAAACACTAATGGCAAACGAGCTTTGTCCACATCGAGCCTTGTAGAGTGTCTATACTCTCTGAACGCTCCGTCCCTGGCAGATCTCTGTGTGCCGCTGCAGCGTCTGTTAGGCCCCGCCCCCCGCACACAGAGAGACACAGGGGCTGTTTCTCAATGTCATGATGTGGAGATAATTATAAGATCTGTTCAAATCCCATTAATGTTTGTATCCCCTTTTTTGTTTTTCAGACGCCTGCTCTTGACTTCAACAATCAGGTCCTGGGCCCCGGTGGGAAAGGCATGTTTGGCAGCTGGGGGAAGGGCAACAGCGGGGGCAGCACCACTGCTAAGCCTGCAGAAGCCGGTAGGTTTCCCAGAACAATGTGATTACGTGATGTTTTGGTGTTTTAGTTTTGATTCTTTCCGTTAACTGTCAAGTGGGAACAAAGTGGACGTTTTTGTTTTTCTCTTATTTTCCCACGATACTGTTATGGCTGTGAATAAGAAAATATGAAGGACAGACCGTCTAGTTACATTTATTTAAATGGGACCTATCATGCAAAATGCACTTTTGTACGTCTTTTCTACATGAATATGTGTCCCCGGTGTTCCAGGGAACTCACCAAGTGTCAGAAAACACAACCCTCTCTATTTTCCTCCATACCCAAATCTCTAAAAAAGGGGCTGCAACGGATCTGATAAAAACTGATCCAGATTTGAACACTGTCCTGACGTCAGGACGGTGGCGCTACGGCTATTGGGCCAACTCCACCAATCAGGAAGAGACAGCCACGGCCATTGCCGTTCGAAAGCACTGGAGACACTGTAGTACATATGCCAGGCCTCTAGATGGTGCTGTTCTCACTGAATCTGCCCTTGCAAAAACAGAGCTAGAAATTGTCAAATTGAGCAAAATGAGGCATGGCTAAAATGCATGGTCTGTTTGGTATTTAAAAAAAAAAAAGTATAAATATGCCTTATATAGGTATGGTCCTACACTATATTATTCAAATATAGCATGATAGGTCCACTTTAATTTTTTTGAGAAAGGGGCCGGTAATCTCCCTGCTCCTTTCCGGGTACGGTGTGTTTATAGAGACATGTTTTGTAAATAATTGTTATACATTAAGTTGTGCATACCATGAACGGAACAAATACAAATGAAATGAAATGAAATAAAACGTGAGACTCAGAGAGCACAGAAAAGGCCGCTGCTGCATTGCCTTGCTACCTGGATGTTCCATATCATTGATTTTGTTGGACAGATTATTATATTTGTCAGTAGTTTAAAAGAGGTTGATATAACAAAATGGATTGACATTCAGAAAATGGAAAACACTATTGAAGTATTACTTAAACATTGAAAGAACAATGTCAAAAAATGTACTTATTGGGAACCATCTTCTCTCATTTCATTTTTACGTTTAAGTTGATCGATATTAAGATCACAAATATCTATCATGATTCATTATTGCCCTGGGGTAAGATATTGAAACCCCACATTTCTCCTGTAGGCATGGCATAGTATATATAGTATGTTATCAACCTATTCGTCTCTTCTTGTATATCTTTTGAATGAATCAACCAAATGAGTAGTTAGTTGACTCAGAGATTCATGATATATATATATATATTTGTTTCTTTCTGTGTGAACAGTGACACGAGAGAAATCTGACACCCCTCCTCCCCCCCCGGCCTCCACCAAGCCCACGCTGACGGAGGAGGAACTGACAAAGAAATCCACCGCCATCATCGAGGAGTATCTGCACCTCAACGACATGAAGGTACGAAAAATAGAAGTAGCAATATTGTTGTTGCATTACAATTTTACTTTAAACAGTTTTATGTTCATAACATGATAACTTATTGTACGTTATTAAACCAAATGCCTCCTCCTAGCATAAATAAGCGATTGTTGGTCAACCCTGTCAGAGACTTTATGAGTCAGCATACTATAACAACCTAATAAGGCTGTCCAACAACTTCTTCTCAGACCCACTTCATTTTCTGTGGCCCCATAAGAGCTTGCAAAGAATATAATATGTTTATTATATGGTTATACAGAATCACGTTGCCCATAAACTACATGTCCCACAATGCATCTCAATTTTTTTTATTTTAAATGTTACTTTTTTTTTTAAATGTGTTTTTCCAGAATTAGGCTTTTCTTTTTAAATCATTTTGTGACATTCTCACTGAAGAGACTTGCAATTATTTGCCCTAGACTTCTGCTTTCAGACGTAGTTAATTATGAAGTTATTACCCTATCTGATAATAATCCAATGCAGAGGTAATCATGTAATATCATACATTATTTTATATATATTAAATGTCTTTTTATATAGTCTTAAAATTACAACCGGCCCTTTGAGTGCAACCATAATGCTGATGTGGCCTGTGATGAAATTGAGATTGACACGGCTGATCTAATGGGAGATTCAATAAAGTCAGACTGAAGCATCCTTTGTGCTCCAGTCAGTCCTCTCAGTAAATACAGAGCTGAGTCCAGAGGCCAGGGGCCTATACTACGAATCAAGATTTTCGTTTAGCAAGCTAACTTCAGGGGTTTCCGGTCCTACGAAGCTGGTTCACTTTTTAGCGGGCTAGATAACTTATTCTGAACGGCTAGCCTCCGGAGCAGGATAGGTTCCAGGATAAAAGCACTGCCTGCTGACCAATCAGAGCTCAGTGTGCGGAGTTTAAAGCGATCAATTCATATGACAGGAGGAGAAAGGAAATACAGTTTAAACTGCCGTTGCAGGAAAGACGGCCGGCCAAAATCACCGACTGTGAACGTGAAAATTAATAGAATATCCCCTCCCATCTTCAGAGCAATCTGACTATTATAACATTAGCGTTAAGATAGCTTACTTAAATATCTGCCACAACATAAGTAACCGGATCAAAGTAACATTACGTAGCCTACAGTCCGCGGCACCGTGAGTGCAGACGGCGATGTGTCCCATTATCATTCATATCATATCACATCATAATGTATCATATATTTCCTTATCTGAGTCAGCTGAGCCGTATCTGGCGTGCAACACTCACAGTGTCACATACTGTATGCAGAAGTATTATTTTAAGCAACACATAAAGTTGACGAAACACTCGAGTCAAATGTAATTAAAGTCAGATCCACTCGTGTCTTAGACGGGGCAGTGATATCATAAACCTGTTAATGTACGCATTCAAACGCTTTTTCTTTTACCAGCTGTATTCACCTTGCAGGTGCAGCTATGTGGCTTTGATCCTGGATAAAGTGTTTAAGTCATGGATCTTTAAAGTTTAACGTCTTCATATTTGACTAATATTAAAGTTGACTTTTCATTCAGGAAGTATGACGCTGCGCTGTCAGTACGCTTGTCCATGTTTGTGATTGGTCGAACACTCCAAATACCACCCCTTTTATCTGAACGCGCACCTAACTAGATAGGACACAGCTGGTTTGAGCGATCGAGTTGATAGCCAGCGTCGTAGGACCGTTTAGCGAGAGCGTTTTTTTTTTGGATTTAGTCAACCGGATAACTCAAAACATATCCAGGATATGTTGAACTAGATTCGTAGTATACCCCCCTGTACTACGAAGCCGGATTTTTGCTTAGCCGGCTAACTTCAGGGAAAACTCGGGGTTTCCGGTCCTACGACGCTGGTTCTCTTTTTAGCAGGCTAGATCTCCATGGTAACTTATGGTGAGCGGCTAACCTGCTCCGGAGGAGGTTAGGTTGCAGGCTAAGAGATCAACTCAGTGAAAGCACCGCCTGCTGACCAATCAGAGCTCAGTGTGCGGAGTTTAAAGCGATCAAGTCATATTACAGGAGAAAGGAAATACAGAAAAACTGCCGTTGCAGGAAAGACGGCCGGCAAAAATCACCGACTGTGTGAACGTGAAAATTAATACAATATCACCTCCCATCTTCAGAGCAATCTGGCTATTATAACATTAGCGTTAAGAAAGCTTCCTTAAATATCTGCCACAACATAAGTAACCGGATCAAAGTAACATTACGTACAGTCCGCGGCATATCACATCATAATGTAGGCCTATCATATATATCCTTATCTGAGTCAGCTTCTTGAGCCGTATCTGGCCGTGTAACACTCACAGTGTCACATACTGTATGCAGAAGTATTATTTTAAGCAACACATTAAGTTGACGAAACACTCGAGTCAAATGTAATTAAAGTCAGATCGTGTCTTGGACGGGGCAGTGATATCATAAAACTGTTAATGAACGTATTCAAACGCTTTTTCTTTTACCAGCTGTATTCACCTTGCAGGTGCAGCTATGTGGCTTTTATCCTGGATAAAGTGTTTAAGTCATGGATGTTTAAAGTTTAACTTCTTCATATTTGACTAATATTAAAGTTCACTTTTCATTCAGGAAGTATGACGCTGCGCTGTCAGTACGCTTGTCCGTGTTTGAGATTGGTCGAATGCTCCAAATACCACCCCTTTCATGTGAACGCGCACCTAACTAGATAGGACACGGCTGGCTTGAGCGATCCACTTGATATCCAGCGTCGTAGGACCGCTTAGCGAGAGCGCGTATGTTTTGGATTGGGCCAACCGGCTAACTCAAACATATCCAGGTTAGGTTGAACCGGCTTCGTAGTACAGGCCTCAGGTCAAATGCACGCTGAAGGCTCTTTGAGCAGGTTTTCTCTCACTGATTGTGCTGTTATGTTAAATGTTTGTTGTTTGTTTTTCATGTATTGTGTCTTGATATGTGTCTGTTGATGTTACACATGGAGCTGCTGTGATGCAAGTCACATTTCACACTTGATCTGAACATTAAAGTGTTATCGTATCGATTCTGATTGTGTCATTGCTCTGTTATAAACATTAAAATGACCGTCTGACAGCAACTAAGCAGAGTTTATCAGCCTAACACCCCCTCTGTGTGTCCTCTCCGTCCCACAGGAGGCTCTGCAGTGTGTGCATGAGATGAGCAGCACTCAGCTTCTCTTCCTCTTCGTACAAACCGGCCTGGAGTCGACGCTGGAGCGCAGCACCATCGCCCGAGAGCGCATGGGCCTCCTGCTGCAGCAGCTCATCAAAGCCGGCACTCTGCCCAAGCAGCAGTACTACAACGGGTCAGTGAGGGGGGGAGGAATGTGTATTTATAATGTTGTATATTGTGTGTAAAAGGTGTCTAAAACTTCACAGATAACACAAGGGTTCCCACGCCTCTTAAACATCTATTTTAACGACTTTCCAATTGAAAGAAACGTTCAATTCAAAACCCAAAACGACAAAGTTTGAGATTTAAGTTGAAAAAAACACGAGTTGAAATATAAATGAAATATTGCAAAAAGGTTTTTTAAGATAGCATGAGTTGTAAAAGTTGGTGTACTGACAAAATCAAAACACCAAAGACATCAGTAATGAGTATATATATCGATATTGTGTGTAATGGGGCTTTCACACCAACGCGGTTCCAGGGCCGGTTCGGAGCTAGAGCCTGAAAAGCACCAGTTTTTCCTGTTCACACCGCAGCGGAGCCGCCTCTAAGCTCCGAAACCCAAGCACCAACATTTTTTCGGTCTAGAAGTAAGAACTGCATACATCGGAGGGGGGCGGGATCAACCTGAGCAATAACAGTTTATGGCGAGTATGGCAAATCAAAGTTGTAACAAGCAGTAGCGCTGAGCAAAGTGACTAGAAGGCAACCACACACTTATAAAAAAACACACTTTATAAAGTCAGGCAACACTAACCAGGCTTTGTGTGATTCTGTTTATTTGTACCTTACTTTGACCATCCGTTCGCTGTTATTGATCATTGTGGAGAGCAGGCAGACGTTTTGTATTATAGCAGCTATCGGATGGAATCAAGACATGGGCTGCACAGGTTGTCATGTCCGACTATCACAAGTAGAATCATAATGAAAAATACGCCGGTAAAATGTGCCGGCTTATCCCACAATAGGATAGCAACAACAAGTCGTCAAGATAGTCAGTTTAGCTTCGGTTGCTATGCTAACATCACCCACTTTATACCAGAGAAACTTTCATAACAGCGTTGTGATGCCAAACAGCGGGCAGCACTGCAGCGGTCGGTAAATGCCGCTGAAACACATTAATAAACAATGAACCACGGCACTCTGGAGAAAAGTATAAGGGTTGAGAAGTAGTTATTTAATTTAATCTGGCTTCGTATGATTAAAAGAAACATGATCATCGACCCGACGCCGTTGGGGAGAAAATCAGCGACGTAAACGGTGACGTCATGACGCAGCCGCGGCAGCACCAGTCGGGCTCTGGGCGGTGTGAACAAAACGGGGGCTGAAAAGAAAAAAGGGTTCTGAACCAGAAAAGCTCTAGCACGGAGCTAGAGCGGGAACCGCGTTGGTGTGAAAGGGGCAATAAAGGCGTCTAAAACTTCACAGAAAACACGAAGGTTCCCACGCCTCTAAAAAAAATCTATTTTAATGACTGTCCAATCAAAAACAACGTTCAATTCAAAACCCAAAACGACAAAGTTTGAGATGAGGATCAGAGTTAGTTTCTGTTGAACTCTCTGGAGGGAGTAGACATGTGAAACTGGGGTGTAGGTGTGTTTCAATCCACCTGTTTTGTTACCCATTTTAAATTAAATTAAAAAAAACACAAGAAAAAACCCATTGTTTTTTTTTATTAAATATTGCAAAAGATTGTTTAGATTGCATGAGTTGTAAAAACTTGGTGTATTCACATAAACATCAAAACACCAAATACATCAGAGCAAGTTGCACCACTTATTTTCGGTTGCTTTTATTGAAATAAAGTTTACAACAGCAGGATTTGAGATGAACAGGAGCTAGGGAATAAGTCTCTAAGTCATATCTTTGCAATAAAGAAATAAAAGAAACCATATAAAATGACATTTTAATAAAATAACAGTAGTGTTTATAACGTCAGGATTTAAAATGAGCAGAAGCCAGCAGGGGAAATTATGGTTTAAGCCAATTAATTACTCTCAAAAAGTCTAATTTCTCTTGCTTTATTCTTACCTTAAACTTATGTGATGCCTTTATGCTCAGTTTTATCATCTTTTGAGTGCGTTTAAACTTGTTCTTCATCCTATAAATAAACGTTTAAATGTCTCCTCGCTGTGTGTCCTCAGGCTGCAGGAGATCCTGGAGGTGGCTGAAGACATGGCCATCGACATCCCTCACATCTGGCTGTACCTGGCAGAGCTCATCTCCCCCATGCTGCGCGAGGGAGGCATCCCCATGGGGGAGCTTTTCAGGTTAGAAGCCCCCTCCTCACATGGGACAAATCTGCAGGAGAACATCCCTTTCTGGCTGCTTGATGTTAACCTGTGTTTGACCTTTGTTCCTCCAGGGAGATTTCCAAACCTTTGATTCCTCTGGGCCAAGCCGGAGTCCTGCTGGTGCAAATCCTCAACTTACTGTGCAAAGAAAGGGTGAGAAGCTCTTAATTACAGTCAATTATCTATACTTTAATACTAAGAAATGGCTAGGGGCTTCTTAACAAGTTATTTTACTTCGAAGCACATTTCATTTCTACCATTTATCTGTAAAACTGAGTTCGTTTGACGCAAAAGCACGACTTAAAGTCTTGTAGACGTTAAATAAGTGTTAGTCGACCAACCGTTTTATAATAGATGTTATCATGGGCCATATAAAAAGTCATGGGAAAGTTTTGTCCCATGAAAATGTGTGGGAACCTTCATATTCTCATTAAATCTTAGCATTTGAACAGTTCTCAAATCACAAAATTCTCACTTTCTCAAAATTCTCACTTTTTCTCTGAAATATCAGTTTAATTTTGGGGGAATTTCACCCATAATTTCCCCCTGTGTTCATACATGAGAAAATAAGAAGTGTTTGATGTTCTTTAAGGTTGTTAATGTGTCTGTCTAACACATGAACTCTCTCCAGTTGTATACATGTTAGTAAATATATATTTTCTGTTTCTGGGTCGCTATACTAAAGCTTTGGATAGATATTTGGGGATGTCCCACTTCAATTCATTTCATCGTTTCATTGAATGTTTTTATTCTTCTGACATTTATTTATATTTTAAATTACAATTACACTGAGAAAAAGTTGTGTGTCTGACTCAGTTCATATGGTGAATGCACATCAGAAGGGAAAGTGTCTACAACTTTTTTTTAAACAATATTTCCCCTTCTTTAGAGCCATAAAAAGGCGGGAGCGATGTGGCGAGAGGGCGGTCTCCGGTGGAGAGACTTCCTCCCCGAGGACGTCGACGTCAACAAGTTCATGACAGAGAAGGTGAGGATATTTACTAACATATAAATACAGTTGTTAATCACACCTTACATTGAAGACCTGCAGTGTAGCTTTCAGACTCAAGACATGCAGATCAATAAATGAATAATCGACGTAAATAATTATTTGCTTTTAACTTAAGAATTAAAATACAGTGTGTAGATTAGCTGTTCTTTATATATATATTACGTCTAGAGAACGAGTCACATAGTTCTGTCTGTGTACTGCTTTAACCTGTGGCTGTTTGTTTTTACATGTTATCTGTATGTTTAGTTCAGTATTTCCAGTATTATAGGCCTCTGTGTTGCATGTGTTTACTGATTGTGTTGCATGTGTTTACTGATTGTGTTGCATGTGTTTACTGATTGTGTTGCATGTGTTTACTGATTGTGTTGCATGTGTTTACTGATTGTGTTGCATGTGTTTACTGATTGTGTTGCATGTGTTTACTGATTGTGTCAACTTTAATGTGTTTTAAGGGTGACTTTACAACATCTGTCCACAGAATACAGATGAAAAATAGTCTCTTAGCTCACTCTGGTGCATTAGATAGATAGATAGATAGATGGATAGATGGATAGATGGATGGATAGATGGATGGATAGATAGATAGATAGATAGATAGATAGATAGATGGATAGATAGATGGATGGATAGATAGATAGATAGATGGATAGATGGATGGATAGATAGATAGATAGATAGATAGATAGATAGATGGATGGATAGATGGATGGATAGATAGATAGATAGATAGATGGATGGATAGATAGATAGATAGATAGATAGATGGATAGATACTTTATTGATCCCAGTGTTCAGACTTTATAAAATAATACTTAAAAAAAAAGTGGAAAAGAGAATTAACAATTAAAAATAAAATGAGAAAATTAAAAACAAAATATTTTATATAATGAATGTAAAAAGTCAAAAATACTAATACTACTCCATGAACAGAAATGTCTATCAATGTGCACCGTCTAAAATAATAAAACCAAATACAGATGATACATTTGGGTATTGTCCACAGTAATAACTGTTCCATGTCTACTATGTGTAATTGTAAAGCGCTTTGAGTGCCTTGAAAAGCGCTCTAATAAAAATGTAATGAATTTATTGTTATTATTATAATAAAGCGTGTTTGTGTTGTGCAGAAGGTGGAGTTCACGCTGGGTGTGGAGTCTGAGGACGGTCAGAAGGAGGAGCTGAGCTCTGAGGAGCTGAGCAAACAGATTCAGAGGCTGATCCAGGATCAGGCCGACGACCAGAGGCTGTTTGACTGGATCGAGGTGAGGGCCAATGTTTACTAACATCTGCATTTCTGTTTGCTACTGTTAGTACTAAGTGCCGGCACTAACTACGGCAAAGTACTTGGTGTGAAACCGGCTATAGCTATCATATGCCTAAAAACAGTCCTGATGCTCTTCTAGGTAATCATACATCCTGTCTAGTAGGGCTGTGCGATTATGGCAAAAATCATAGTCACGATTATTTTGGTCAATAATTGATATCACGATTATTAAATACGATTATTCATTGACTTTGAAAACATCCATTTATTGAACTTTAAAACAAATACAAATAATAATTTGAACAGTATCTTTTTAACTGTTGATTACCCTGAACGTATAATTCAACTGAGAAACCAATACAAAAATAAATTAAACAATTTAAATAAATAATATCAAAATAATAAATACCAATAAACAAGATCAACAAATATTTTGGAGCGCACTTCCCCAAGCTACTAAACATATGTAAATATGATAAATACAAATAAATGAGACTAAAATAAATGAGATCAAATATGTTGCAGTGCAGTCACAACCTAGCAAAGCAAAATAATCGTTTTTTTCGATTATGTTGTTTTCATAATTGTGGCAGGCCAAAATCGTAATTGCGATTAAAATACGATTAATTGCACAGCCCTAGTGTCATGTACAAAATACTGAGTTTTTTTCTCAACATTTTCATTTTTTTCTCAAAATCACAAAATTCTAACTTTTTCTCAAAATCCCAAAATGCTCACTTTTTCACAAAATTCTCACTTTTTCTTAAAATCTCAAATTTAAGTTTGAATTTGAACCATGCTTTTCAAACCCTAACCCAGTTGTAGGGTTCTTGGTTCTCTGCATGCGTGTAAATTAGGGATGCCAGAAACTGACCATGATCAAATTCGAAAATCGGACAGCCCTGGCGAATATTAATCGATTATTTGCCGCCGCGCACCCCAATTATTAATACTATTACTATTATTAGCATTAGTCTATATTTTGGTTGAAACTAAACCAGGAAAAAAAAGAAAAACATAAATAATAATAAAAAATATATAAATAAAATCGAATTTTAAAAATAATTTTCGATTATGGAGACTGTAACGAATATTCGAAAAATCGAATAATCGCTGGCATCCCTAGTGTAAATGAATGTATCTCTGTGTGCAGGATAACCTGGATGAGCAGCAGATGTCCTCCAACATGCTGGTCAGAGCTCTGATGACATGCATCTGTCAGTCAGCCATCATCTGTGAGTTATCCGCATGTTCCCTGACGATATTACACATTCAATCAAGTCAGAATTACCTCATAAACTACGCCATGCCAGTCCCGTTAATGACGTTTTGTTTCCTGCAGATGAGAACCCGAACAAGGTAGACGCCGCTAAGATCAAGAAGAGAGCGAAGGTCCTGCAGAAATACCTGAGTGACGACAAGAAGGAGCTGCAGGCTCTCTACGCTCTGCAGGCGCTGATGGTGGAGCTGGAGCAGCCGGCCAGTGAGTGACTTCTTAACATCTTTTAGAGCAGCGGTGTCCAAACTTTTTTCACCGAGGGCCACATAGAGAAAATATTCGAAGGGCTGGGCCGCTATATATCGCCTCATAAGTTCAGTTATAAGTTTGAGAAATCAATCAAATGTAGGTAAATTATTCCTTTTAAAAGTTGCAGCGGACCTGCAGGTTTCTGGGAGTTTGTTCCAGACATTTGGAGCATAATAACTGAACGCTGCTTCTCCATTTTTAGTTCTGACTGTTGTAGTATGTGTAAAGGCCGCTACACACTCACCTGAGACCAAAGAACGCGTACCGAAGGCGTCCCGACTTTTACGTCAGCTACGTCGCCTGCGTAGCCGCCCGCCTACGAACACACCGCAAATACTTCAGTCGACGAGTGGCAATAACTGTCCTTACCAGCAGGCAGCGGTAGTGTGAACAGCCAATCAGAGTGATTGCTTGGGCCGACTTTCTCTGACCTCCCGCGACCGATTCAACATGTTGAATCAGCCGCGGGAGGTGTGAAAAGGTGCCGTAAAGAGACGACGGTGCGGGACACACCAACCTGAGTAGGGCGCCGCGAATGCCCGGCTGCCTCTGACGGCCTCTGACTCCCAACATCGGGTTGGTGTGTAGCCAGCTTTAGGCTTTATAATTGGTTTAATATGGGAGGCTGTGGCGCAGTGGAATAGTGCGTTCAAACCCCACTGCAGTCAGCATGTCGTTGTGTCCCTGGGCAAGACACTTCTTGTGGGGATTGTCCACAGTATTGAGTATGTAAGTCGCTTTGGATAAAAGCGTCTAACAAGTAACATGTAATGTAATATAGTTTAAATAGTCAATGAGTAATGTACTAACGTCTCTCGTGTTTCCCCTCTCCTTCAGACCTGCTGCGGATGTTCTTCGACAGCCTTTACGACGAGGACGTGATCAAAGAAGAAGCTTTCTACAAGTGGGAGTCGAGCAAAGACCCGGCGGAGCAGCAAGGGAAAGGCGTGGCTCTAAAGTCCGTCACCGCCTTCTTCACGTGGATTCGAGAGGCCGCGTATGAGTCCTACGACAGCTAGAGCAGGAAAAACGCTCCGTGGAGGATTCAGAAGAAAAAACCCTGAATCGGCAAAATCCTTCTGCATTTTGGTTTCCTTTTGTTTGTTCCCTTTTTGCGCAACTGAATGTCTTTTTTGGAAATAAATACAGGATAAAATCGAGCGAGTAGAAGAGCGAGAGAAAAGCCGTGAGAGAAGACGCCGTTTCCTTCAGTATTTCTTTGAAGTTTACCTGTTTTTTTTCAAACGGCTGGTTTTTCCTCGCCACGGTCAAACACTATTCAAGACACTTTGCTTAATGACAGATATATACAAAAAAATAAACAACAAAAAAAAAAAACTTTAAAAGGCTGTTCACATTTATATTTTTGATGACTTCATCGTGTGAGCGGCAGCATCACATCGATCGGTGTTGGATCTACACGACCAAGCGCTAGTGTAGACGGTTAGCTTTCCCTTTCATCTTGTTCCCGTGTTGGATGGTTGGAGTGAGTGTTTTGTAATAAAATTAAAAAACTACAAAGAAGAGTGTAAAAACTGGAAGAGATAATAAAGATTGTTGCCAATAAAAGAAGAAAAAATGTCTTCCTTTTTGCTTTTTATTAAGACTCTTGAATCCTAAACACTACGATCACTTCTGTTGTACATTATCACTTTGTTTTATGAACGTTTTTTTCTCATAATGTGGGCTTTTTTCTCAAAATCACAAAATCCTCACTTTTTCTCAAAATTCTCACTTTTTCTCAAAATGTTGGCTTTTTTCTCAAAATCTCAAAATTATCACTTTTTCTCAAAATTATCACTTTTTCTCATCACAAAATTATCACTTTCTCAAAAGATATGCATTTTCTGAATCTGAGGAGTTTTCTCATCCCTATGATTTAAGAAAAATTGATAACATGTAGTCTGAAGTCAAGGGAATATAGTTGCTTAGCTTTTTTTCAAATGTTTACTAAAATGCAAAACAACTTAAACAAACCAACAGAACATCTGATAATATTAATGCATTTTATTTATTGAGCGCTTTTCTTGAAACTCAAAGACACTTTACAAAGTAAAAATTCATAAAAACAACACTTATAAAACACAGATTTAAAGGTCCCTTGTCATGGCCATTTCTACTGATCATAATTCCATTGTTGAGGTCTACTACAATAGATTTACATTGTTCAATGTTCCAAACTCTCATTGGTTTCTCATACAGCATCTCTGTATAGCATGTGTATTCACGCCTTGTTGGAGCTCCTGCCCCCCCCCCCCCCCTCCCTGTGAGCCCACTGTGCTCTGATTGGTCAGCTCGCCCACTCTGTTCTGATGAGTCCACCACCGTTACAGAGGAACATCAGTGATTATGTGTTACAATGGCGTTTGTTAGCAACCAGGAAATGACACCAGTAATGACAAACAGATGAGATGCGTGGGGTCTGGGTGCCGTGTTGGCGGGACATTGCGGGGCTCGCTGCTCCGCCCTTTGAGGCTCGAGGAGCTCGAGGAGTGGACAGTGTGAGCTGGATTACTGCTGTCGTTTCCTGGTTGCTGCGTGGGGTCTGCGAGACAGCGAGACACCACGGAGCTCAGCCTGAGCACACACTGTGCGGAAATCCGCAGAGCTGCTACGTCACTACGACCAGGAAGAAAAAAATGGAAAAAGTGGATCACCAGAGCTGTTAGATTAACATTAACATGCTTATTGTAGTGCACTGCCTTGCGGCCTGTAGCACCATCCTTGATGGAGCATAAGGAAAGGAGTGAGCAGAGGGTAGAGATGTCGATTCTTGTTCTGTTTTCTGTGACTATCTTCCTCACCCTCTCAGACTTTCAGTTGCACGCGCTACTAAAGAGACGCGCTACCATGGAAACCAAACAATGGTGTAGCTGTATTAAAGTCAGAGTGGAAACAGTCCTGAGTAAAACGGATTTTGTCAGAAATCGGGAGCAATGCGGGAGAAATATGACCCCGGGAGGAAACCGGGAGAGGGCAATGAAATCGGGAGGGTTGGCAAGTATGAGTGTGGTACTGGCCAGATTTAAAAGATTTTGCTCTGCTTTTTCCTGTTCAGTTCCACACGTTGAAGGAACTCATCACTCCAATCATCCGGAGGCAAAACACCAACTACCGGGACTGTATCTCCGTGGGGACACGTCTGATGGTTACGCTGCGATTTTTGGCAACAGGTATGCAAGCTAAAGATGTTGCTATATTTGAAATTGCAGCACTTTCTATATTACATTACATTACATTACATTACATGTTAGACGTTTTTATCCAAAGCGACTTACATACTCAATATTATTGTATATTATGCTTTAGCAGTGGTAGACGAAGTACTTATACATTTTACTTCAGTAAAAGTAGTAATACCGCAGTGTAGAAATACTCTGTTAGAAGTCAAAGTCATGCATTAAAAGATGTAAGTACAAAACCAAATGTACTTAAAGTACCAAAAGTACTGCTTGGTAGCTTGAGAATTTACCAAGGGATCAATAAAGTTTTATCTTAACCTATAATAATGCATGATAAAATATTTCATTATTATATTTTGTATCATGAATCTGAATTTTCATAGTAACTAAAGTAATCTAACTATCTTGTAAACTATAACCTGTAGTTGTGTAGCTAATGAGTGTTTTGTTCAGCTGCTTGTGTAGATAACTCTTTATGTGTTTGTTCATATTTGCAGGGGAAAGCTTCAAGAGCCTTTCCTACCAGTTCCGAGTGGGAGTGTCAACGATACGGCAGTTCGTTCCTGAGACCTGTACAGCCATCTACGAGGTTTTAAAAGAGAAATACCTGAAGGTATGTGTGGATACTGACTGGTTTTACTGTGCAAACTCTATGTAATACAGTGAGGTCTGTAGGCATTTGAACAGCAAATGTTAGCTCTGCCATATGAAACATGGGTCTTAAAACATATATGTTTTTGTTTTTCAGTGCCCCGACACGGTGGAAGAGTGGCAGCTAGTAGCTGATGGATTCCAGGCTCAGTGGGACTTCCCAAACTGCCTAGGTGCCCTGGATGGGAAACACATCAACACTCGCCCCCCATTTTCCATGGCGCTAATGGCACTGGTCGACAGCAACTACAAGTTCTTGAATGTAGATGTAGGTTGTAACGGGAGGATTTCAGATGGTGGTGTGTTTGGTGGATGCTCACTGCAGGATGCCCTGGAGAATAGGACATCCAACATCCCTGCACCTGCACCCCCTCCTGCTTCTGACCAGGCGGTTTGTTACTCCATTGTGGCAGATGAGGCATTTCCCCTGAAGGAGTACCTCATGACGCCCTATGACCAGGGGCCTCATTTATAACGCCTTGCGTAGGATTGACGTAGGAAGGTTGCTTACGTAGTACAAAGCACAAAAATAGGTACATACATTTTCCGCCATTTTCCGATTCACAAAACATTGCGTACCGGCGAGGGAAGTGCGTACGGCACTCCCTACGCCTGTTTCCCTTTATAAATCACAATCGACTCGTAACGCCCATATTTGCCTATACATAGTCAAAGAAACGCCCATTCATTCATTCATTTTGACTGCATGAAGAAGATCGCAGGAAATTACGATAGAACAGCTAAAAAAGACTTCTCACACCGTGTCAGATTTAGGTTATTGTGGGGAGGTCGAGATAAATCATATTGTTTGGTGGATGCAGTTTGAATCAGAGTAGCAGCATGGAGGTCGGATCGTCACCAAAATAAATAAATAAGTGGTCCGAAAAAAGTTAATGACAAAACAAATACACATAACCTTCCTCAGGCAGTGTGTTTGTCCCGGGGACAGGAGACACCCCCTTGATGAGAAACTGTAAGAAATGATCGGGGAATCCCTCCAGAGTGGAGTCATGACGACTGGATCTGAATTATTTTGTTGTATTTGGTGGTTTGTGTTCCAGCTGTCGATCAGCAACTATATATCCATAATCCACCAGTTAAAGGAAATACAATGTGTTGTGTTATATTAGCTGTACAATTTACCACATATGGTGTTCTTAGTTTCCATACCTCCTGTGTTTTACGAGCGACTTATCAAGTCTTGGCAAACGGCATAAAACACGATTAAACGTGATAGTATATAAAACCATGCTCGTATCTACAACCTATAGAAATGCAAAACGGCGTCAGTTTAGACGTAATTCTGTCCTCCTGCTTACCGCATCATTTATGAGAAAACATTTCATAACATTAACACAACATATTCGAGGTGGTTTTAAATAACATATCCGTATTTATTTATTTCTCCAAGTTATGTTTTTGTGTGCACTGAGGAGTCTCAAACAGGCGTTTGTTTAATCATTTTAAGATTGGCTTTAATCAATGTTTGAAAATGAATTCTTCATATTTGATAAATGAGAGGTAACATTTTATTTATGGTATTATTTCCACATATTTCTCTCCATTCTTCCTTCTGCCAACGGTGTCGCAGTTTCTCGTCTCTCCCGTTTGTGTGCTTAGTGCGTACGCATGGGTTAGAGTTTGCGTGGAGGACAGCACATTTTCCCGTCAAGTTAGTATTTTATAAATCGCAAACATTGCGTAGAAACTGGCGTACGCCATTTTTTGAGCGTATATCCCTTTATAAATGAGGCCCCAGAGCCTAGCTGTAGAGCAACGCATCTTTAATTACAGGCTGTCGCGGGCTCGGAGGGTGGTAGAAAATGCCTTTGGCATCCTAGCCAACCGTTTTCGGGTCTTTCTCACCACCATAAACATTCAAGACACTGCCAAAGTGGAGGCCATTGTTTTGGCTTGCTGTGCTCTGCACAACTTCCTGCTCACAGAGAACTGTAGCGTATACATGGCGGGAGTTGTTGACCAGGAAGGACCCGATCATGGCACTGTCCCAGGAAGATGGAGACAAGACCCTGAACTACAGCAGGCCACCCTGCCACCCACCACCAATGCTACAGCTCGAGCCCAGCAGCACAGGGATGAACTATGCCAATACTTTAACGGTGTCGGTGCAGTGCCTTTTCAGTGGGATAAGGTATAGCAAATATGTATGCCTATCCTGCTATTTGTGTTTATTCTTTTAATCACACAGCGTTAAGATGAAATTAAAATGTGCCTACATATCTGTTAGTTGCAGTCCTAGCATTATTATTGGTTTAACTACTAAGAGTATATTTTAAAAACATTTTAAAATGACCATCTTGAACAGCTACAACATTAAAATACTTCTAGGCAGGTTGTGGAGGATAATGTGAGAAAAATTAGCCACATCAAATTAGTGAACTGTCTGACCAGAGCATACACAGGATGCACCTTTATTAAAAGTAAATATTTAGCTGTATTTTCCACATCTTAGAAATGCTGTTTCTCACAATCCCGATGAATAAAAGTAAAAATATTTAAAGATATCTACATAATCAAACATTTACACATGTATACAAAGTCCCACATTAAGAGGCATCAATTCAACATGAAAATATAACGGCACAAGAGTCAATATATACAAAAATAACAGTCACTTATAAACAGATGATGATCAAGGTTCAAGGTTCAAGGTTCTTTATTGTCAAACTGACATAGCTACAGAGTAATTATGTTGTTGAAAATCTTATGTCACAGGCTTCTCCAACAATGCAACATAATAACAATACAGATAGCAAGAGCAATACAAAAGAAAAATAGTTATAAAATAAAGTGAGCATGTGGAATAGTGCAGTACGAGTCTATATACAAGTTATTGGAATGATATATATTAGATATTAGATGAATATGTTCATAGTCTTTGTTCAGGAGATAATCAGAGCTTTGAACTCACATTTAGGAGGAAAGGTTTGAAAAAGGAGAAGCTCCAACTAAAGATAAACATTAGGTTTCAAAGTCTGTGGGAACATTTATATTTCAGAGGTTTAGTTTTGGCAGAAATACAACTTTTACTACTTCCAGCGTGATTCTACTAACAAATTACAGTTGCCCCAAATGATAAGCCAAATTAAAAAGATAGGTCTTTAATTTACTTTAAAACATTTGAATCTGAACGAGAGAGATGAGTTATTGTTATTACAACGTGATTTCCAGATTATTTGAGAATAACTCCTTTTAGTGGGTTAATTACATTCTTACAATAAGTGAGGAATGGATTTAACTTCAGCTACCAAACTGGAGAAATAAGAAACTGTAAATGTAGGCAATCATTAATAATTAATATCTCATTCTTAACTGTGAATGTCTTTCATTTGATCTAAAATCTGAAATGTATTAGTCTAGGCCAAAACGTTCTCTGTTGACCTTCCTGAAAAAAAAGGAACATTTCATTAAAAAAAAGTTGATTCAAGAACAAATCTCTGTGTTTTTTTATTATAGGACAATTATTGCTGAATCTGAAAGAGCTTCCCTAGCTTTGTAATTTCTATGATGTCCTATTTGGGTTGCCTTTCGTAAAATCGGGTAGTCATACCCCCCCATATTGGACAGTTACGTACGGCAACCCACACAGGACATTTGACGTCCAGACGGCTGCCTGAGTTGCACTGCGCAAGAATGTGTTGGTCTGCCATAAACTTATAAATGATAAGAAATACGATAACAGAGAAATTACAAAGCTGGGAAAAACCTTTCAGATTTAGCAATAATTGTCTTTTTGTAACCTTTAAACAGTTCCAGCTCACAGCCGGTGGAGATTGTGATGTTCTCAGCACGTTTGTGTTGATCAGCAACCTTCAGTAACAGAGTAACTTTAGTTATGCTCAGATAGTCAAGGCAACTTTATTTAAAGATCACATTAAACAACAACAAACGTTGACAGACCTGCTCCACAAAGTGATGAGATATACAATCAATCACAACATAAATATAAGTATATATTGCCTTTGTAAAGGAATATTAAAATAGATTATTTTAATTCTTTGAGATAAGCTATTGAAGAAGCTATTCCAACGTTAACCAGAACACAAACCGTCTGTGTCAGTTATACAACACAAAAGGCTGCTGCCCAAGCTGTAAAATGTGGCTGTTAGGGATGAGATCAAGTTGTCTTGGCAGTGATTCATCTCAGCAGGTCTTTCAGTTCTGTGTGATGTGTTTAACATTAATGCCATCAGTTTCCGCAGACAGAAAGACATGCTGAGAGAGAATCATACAAAACCACAAAGAGCGATCTGAAGATTTACAGTTCAGATAGATCTTATTCTTCTCCCAGCACGAGAAGGTTTGAGAAGAGGAGCAGTGTGTGTGGAAACAGCTGTGGTTTAAACCAGTGTTTAGTCTGATGGTGAGCACATGGCCTTACCTCCTTCTTAGGGACGTTTTTCTGCAGCAGATGCACATCCAGTGTTTGCTCCTCTCTGACCGGGGGTCGTAGGAACACCAGAATCTTGCCCTTTACCCGCAGAAGCAGAGCCCTTTTAATGATATCCCAGACCAGGCCAAAGAGAGAGAGGTGAGGCACCTTCACCACCACGTGAGTGCGTGTGACCTCCAGCGGCTCCAAGATGCTCAGGCCTTCATCAGTGATGTGGACGACAGACAACAGGCCGTCCAGGAGCAGCGCTGTGGAGCAAAGAGCTGGTCATCTGTTGCATTGCTGCTGAAACAGCTTCATCATATTCAATGTCACACCACTTTAGTTCAGAGCTAATGTTCATCTAATGTCATTCACTTTGGAGCCTCACTAGGATGTACCAGTTTATATCCTCCACCTTTTATTCTAATGTTTCATTATTGTTCCGCCCCCTGTGATCTTTCTGGATGTGAGCATTTACTGTTATGCATAAACTTTATTCATTCTTTTTTATTCACAAGACTGCTGAAATGTTTGTAATCTGCTGCCAGAACAGCTTGACTGTGTCCGGACTCATGTCTGAGTGATTCTCTAGAGTTTCCTAAAGCTTTACCTAAAGATAAATTGTGAGCGTTAGTGCATTTAACTTGACAGCCCTAATAATTATATTTCATTCAGTGGTGAAATAAATATACTTCATTCTGTACAACTGCTCCTCTCTCACCTTTCTGTCTGTCTTCACTTCCTGTTCCACATCGGAGTCACCTGATGGAGAGAGGTGGTGACAGAGAACAATAATAATAAAACAATAATAATAATTATTGTACTATAAATATCTTTTAAGATCAGATTTAATGTATAATAGTTTGATGAATGGAGGATATGGTTTCAGTACTCACAGGTCTTCTGGATCTTGGCTCTGATCGTCTCATCATCTCCGATCCTGCAGGGATGAACACAATCCAACAATTTTGGATAAAGTTTAAAACAAGTGTTTGTTCTTTGAGTTAGTCAGCTTCAGAGTCCTGACTGATCTCATGCTTTACATCCCATCATATCTTCTCTGCAAACACTACGACTGAGGAGACAACAAACAAACGCTCTCCAGCCAGAATCGGCACAACAGCAAAGTAAGTTAACGGAGTGTGTGCCCTTTAAAGATGGCGGCAGCGTGAAAAGCTGGGTAGCTCCTCAACCCCACAAGAAGGATAAGAAGAAGGATATGGTGGTTTAAATATCTCTGTTTTGCGCTCACAACTAAACATTAATAGGGGATGAATTTGAGATCGGGTGTAACGGCGGAAAAAAACAACTTTACCAAACAGAAAACGGACGAACAAACAATTCGCGTCACCTGTCCACACAATGACGGAAGTAGGAGAAATAAAACATCTGATGCTCGAAATGAAGGAAGCAATATCGAAAGAGATCAAAGACTTCAGAATGGATTTTAACGAATTTCGAGCTGAGACGGATAAGGACATAAAGAAAATGATGCAACTGACAACAGAACTACGCACCGATCAAACAAAAACGAGCGACAGAGTGGATCAGGTGGAGTGCCGTGTCGGTGAGATGCATGACACAGAAATACTTCACCAACAATCAATTAAATATCTGGTAAATAAAGTCTCAGAGATGGAAGAATGCAATGACTACCTGGAAAATAAGACCAGGCAAAACAATGCGCGTATATTCAACATACCAGAGAAAAGTGAAGGAGAGAATATGTCAACTTTTCTGAAGAAACTATTCAACGAGGTGCTTAAAATACCGGGAGATTTTAACACCGGGAGTACAGAGAAGTCAAGGATCATGCCAGACCGATTATTGTTGCTTTCCTAAACTTTGAGACCAAGAAGCAAATACTACAGGCTGCATGGGGAAAGAAGGAAGTAACTTATAGCGGTATGCAAATCTTCTTTGATCATGACCTTTAAAGTAAGACAACAAAGAGCCTTGTACAGACCTATCAGAGACCAACTAAAGGCCAAAAATATCAAATCGCACATCTTGGCCCCGGCAACATTGAACGTTTTCAGCGAAGATGGGACCACACAGACATATGGGATTCCTAAAGCTGCGGGGAAGGCTCTCGTAGAACGGGGTCTGGTAGTTGGTGTGCCCCCACCGCGTGACCAAGATACCCGGAGCATGGAACGGGACACCGGGCAGCGACAACGATGGGAAGTGGATAATAAACAACGGAGCAGTCGGAGCATTACTGAACTGGTACAGGAGGCAGAGAAGAACCTTGGCATATGTGAGTGAAAACAGTATGCAGATCACGGTTGAAACGGCTATTATGTTTCAGAACTGTGGTTAGTCTTTCTCGCAGGTCTGCCTACTTATGTTAATTAAGGATAACCGTATGAGCCTGGTTAGAGGCTTTATTTATGTTTTCCTTATTAGACAAGAAATCCTTTACGGCATGGAATGTTTGTTTTTGTTTTCTGCTTCATTTCTGGATTATTCTCTTTGTTTAAGCCCATCTTCTTCTTCTTCGATATATACTGTATATGTAGAAAGTACATTGAAAGGGGTTGTGACCGCAAAAATGCCAATTAACTCCATGGCAAAGGAAATAGAGACATGTTATATTGTTTTTGTGATTTATGTGTACGTCAGTAGGTGTTATATGTTTTTTAGGTTTACAGTTTGGGTCCTTATCAAGTATTTAAAAAAGGTTGACGAAGTTATATCACTCATTTTAGATGATACATGACCTGTACTAGTACTACGATTGCAACTTATAACTGTAACGGCTTGGCTAATGTCTCTAAAAGAAATGAAGTTTTTACTTGGTTGAAAGATAAAAACAATATTACAATTATTTGTGTGCAGGAAACGCATTCTAATTTGGTAAACGAGTTGAAATGGAAATCAGAATGGGGTGGAGATATTTATTTCAGTCATGGCACTACTAATAGTAGGGGTGTTATGATTATGTTTAAAAAAGAAATTCAACACTTAGTTCATTCTGTACAAACTGATGAGGATGGAAAGTGGATTATGTTAGAGGTGACAGTGGATGACTTGCACATAAATATCATTAATATCTATGGGCCAAATGATGATATATCAAAAAATAACCAAAATATTATAGTTGGAGATTTCAATAGGGTGTTAAACATAAGTAAGGATCGTACAGGTACTCATTCTTTTAATAATCACCCACAGGCCTTAAATGAAATCCAACGACTCAAGGCATCCTTAGATTTAGTGGATATTTGGAGACAAAGAAATCCAAATTCAATCAGGTACAGTATACGTGGCGCAGGGGACAACAAGCTAGTCGCATTGACTACTTTCTTATCACCTTTTCCCTGGTTCACAAAGTATTAAAATGTAGTATTGGTGACCGATTAAGATCTGACCATGCCATCGTAACACTGCAAATTATTACAGCAGAATATCCCAGAGGGCGGGGGTATTGGAAATTCAACCTATCACTTTTAAATTATAGATTTTTTTCAAATTAATAATAATTCATCGGACCCTCACAACGTCTGGGAAGCCTTTAAGTGTGTTTTTAGAGGACACGCTGTTAAGATGGGGTCATGGAAACAAAAACAATATTTGATAAAGGAGAAGAGTCTAATAGAGGAGGTCAATGAATTGACTAAAACGTTGGATGAAAAGCAATCGTTATGCATAGAAACAACTTATTTGATAAAGAATAAACAACTAGAACTGGAACATTTATACTCTGAGCGTGTGAATGGTATAATTTATAGATCCCGTGCCACATGGATGGAAAAAGGGGAAAAGTGCACGGCTCATTTTTTAAGACTCAACCAAAGAAATTCTTCCAAAAAAACCATTATGAGCCTGTATACTCCAAATGGTATTCTACTTACATCTCCACAGGAAATATTAGCTGAAGAGGTGGATTATTTTAAAACCTTATATGCTCTGGCTCCAGAGTCTCCTGTAGGATCCAATGTTGAGTTATTTTTTCAAAAGAATTATGATCAGATACTGTCAGTAGATCAGCAACTAAATTGTGAAGGAAACATTTTAGAAGAAGAGTTACTGGATGCTATTAATTCCTTCGCTCCTGGTAAATCACCAGGGATTGACGGTATGCCTGTTGAAGTTTATAAAACCTTCTACACAGAAACTAAAAAACCTCTATTGGCATCCTTTAACTACTCCTTTACACAAGGAATATGATCAGATACACAGAAAGAAGGCATCATCACATTGTTACTGAAGCAAGACCCAGAGGGGCATTACAAGAATCCTGTTCATATGAAGCATTGGAGACCACTGACACTACTTTGTTGCGATACCCGCATTCTGTCCAAATGTATTGCACGGAGAATCAAAATAGTAATTGGGAATATAATAAAACTTGATCAAACAGGTTTTATAAAAGGGTGTTTTATTGGAGATAATATTCGCCATCTGCTTGATATGATAGATAATCATGAAG